CGTGTGTGCGTGTGTGCGTGTGTGCGTGTGCGCTTGTGCGCGTGTGCGTGTGGGCGTGTGTGCGTGTGGGCGCGTGGGCGCGTGTGCGTGTGCGCGTGTGCGCGTGTGCGCGTGTGCGCGTGTGTGCGTGTGTGCGTGTGTGCGTGTGTGCGTGTGTGCGTGTGTGCGTGTGGGCGTGTGTGCGTGTGTGCGTGTGTGCGTGTGTGCGTGTGTGCGTGTGTGCGTGTGTGCGTGTGTGCGTGTGTGCGTGTGTGCGTGTGTGCGTGTGTGCGTGTGTGCGTGTGTGCGTGTGTGCGTGTGTGCGTGTGTGCGTGTGTGCGTGTGCGTGTGTGGGTGTGTGCGTGTGTGCGTGTGTGCGTGTGTGCGTGTGTGCGTGTGTGCGTGTGTGCGTGTGTGCGTGTGTGCGTGTGTGCGTGTGTGCGTGTGTGCGTGTGTGCGTGTGTGCGTGTGTGCGTGTGTGCGTGTGTGCGTGTGTGCGTGTGCGTGTGTGCGTGTGTGCGTGTGTGCGTGTGTGCGTGTGTGCGTGTGTGCGTGTGCGCGTGTGCGCGTGTGCGCGTGTGCGCGTGTGCGCGTGTGCGCGTGTGCGCGTGTGCGCGTGTGCGCGTGTGCGCGTGTGCGCGTGTGCGCGTGTGCGCGTGTGCGCGTGTGCGCGTGTGCGCGTGTGCGCGTGTGCGCGTGTGCGCGTGTGCGCGTGTGCGCGTGTGCGCGTGTGCGCGTGTGCGCGTGTGCGCGTGTGCGCGTGTGCGCGTGTGCGCGTGTGCGCGTGTGCGCGTGTGCGCGTGTGCGCGTGTGCGCGTGTGCGCGTGTGCGCGTGTGCGCGTGTGCGCGTGTGCGCGTGTGCGCGTGTGCGCGTGTGCGCGTGTGCGCGTGTGCGCGTGTGCGCGTGTGTTTGGTGTTTGTGTGCGTGCGTGCGTGCGTGCGTGCGTGCGTGCGTGCGTGCGTGCGTGCGCGCGCGCGTGCGTGCGAGCGTGCGTGCGTGCGTGCGTGCGGCGCGCGCGCGCGCGTGCGTGCGAGCGTGCGTGCGTGCGTGCGTGCGTGCGTGCGTGCGTGCGTGCGTGCGTGCGTGCGTGCGTGCGTGCGTGCGTGCGTGCGTGTGCGTGCGTGCGTGCGTGCGTGTGTGCGTGCGTGCGTGCGTGCGTGCGTGCGTGCGTGTGTGTGTGCGTGCGTGCGTGCGTGCGTGCGTGCGTGCGTGTGTGTGTCTTGTTTCGTTCCCCTATTTCAGGCGACGAACCGGAGGAACGGCAACCCTGTGCGGCCCCTTGCCTAACCCCTTCGCATCTGCCAGGCGACGCAGGCACTACTCTCACACCATACCCGTCGACATACCTGAGAGGATGACCGCCGCGGCCGAAATTCAGTTCCACCACCTGGAAGATAGACGGACCGACGGGATCGCATGAGAAATACTCCCCAGATCGCACCTGGGTGTGATGGACTATCCATCCCGCTACAGTGGAAACCCATGCCAAAACAGACGCCCTGCTTGCCTCCAGGGTGCCCTGGGCTTCTTGGGCCTCGATGGTCTTGCCATGGAATGCGTGACGTTCCCACATCAAAAAAACACTGGACGTCCTGGGGTCTCAGGGCCCGGCTTCTTTCGAAATGCTGCTTGTGATCGAGCTCCCACTGTAAGGTCACGATGTCATCGTGCGTAAGATCCGTTTCTTGTTATCCGCCCCCCCCCCGCTTGCTGGGGGGGGGACAAGGATCGTTGCACCAAGTGGAGGGAGAGGAGGAGGGAGGAGGAGGAGGAGGAGGAGGAGGCCGAGGAGGAGGGAGGGAGGAGGGAGGCTTCTTGTGGTCGAGCTCCCACTCGCACTCCCCGGACCGCGCTCGCTGGGGACCGCTCCGACCAGGATATGCCGAGGCGGACCTGGCCGTGGCGACGAGCCCCCCCCCATTCCCAAGCCGGCACCAGGAGGCGAGCAAGACGGGGGAAGGACCTCGGGCACGGCAAGTCCGCGCGGCGTCGGCGCGCGCCAATGGGGCGACAAACTCTATACCCATCCACTGCCAGCTGGCCAGGCCCGTCCCTCCCGGCTTGGCCAGGAGGGCCTACACGCAGCTCCTGGGTTCAGGACGGGCCTGGCCAGGGAGCAGTGGATAGGATAGGTATAGACTTCGTCGCCCAAGAAGAGGTTTTCGACACCACGTCGATCGTTGTTGCCACCTTGAACCGATCGCGGCCCCGATCGTTCTCAATGTTCAACTTAGTCGGATCCAGTGGCGTTATCGTGTCCCTCGGTGCTTCCGCATCGCAAGATTCGCAAGATCGGGGTCACCGGCGCGCCAACGCCATATGAACCGACCGTGCCAATATCTTGTCTCCCCTGAACGTATGGCTGACAAGACAATGCGTGGAAGACCGGCGGGATGGTCTGAGAAGGATGCCTTGTCGCAGTACGCCTTGTGCTCAGCGTCTGCGGCCGCTTCGTCCTCCAACTTTGAAATCATCTCGGAGATCAAACCCTTGACCTCGTTGGCGGCGGCACGAACAAACGGGAAAAAGTGGAAGCTGGGATTTCCACGGAAGTGGAAATGGGACAGGGCATGAAAAAGTGGCAGGGGCTGAACCGAGCCTGGGACAGTTGGGGTGCGGATGCTAGGGTTAGGTCGGGCCTGTCTCCCTACAGGGGGAGTTTGGGCGAAAAGTAAAAAATACTCCAGAAATGTCTCCAAGTGGTAAAAACATACTTTTAAGAACAATATCCAGACTATGTTTTGACTATGTTTGAATATTCCTCCTGTAGAGGGACAGGCCCGGCTTAACGCTAGGGATGGAAAAACCAAGGAACAGTCCAGGGCTGGAGAGCGTGAAGGCCTGGCCCTGGCCGCTTCTCCCAGCGTCCACGTAGCGTGCTGGGCAAGACTCGCGGCGCGCTGCTCGAGGGCTCGTGCAGGGGACCACAGGCGAGCCCTACCGCTATCCCCCACGACTTCTGAGGGGAAGGGTGGGGTTCACTTCGCTCGGGAGCTCCCGAACGAAATGGACCCCACTCTCCCACTCAGAAACCGTGGGGGGTAGGGGTAGGGTTCGCATGTGGCCCCCTGTCGTGGCCGCTGGCGGGAGCGCGCGGAAAACGTGCACGAGCACAGAGGACGCAGAGCAAGAAGGCGAGGAAAGTGACGTGCACACACGCTTCTGTCCTCGCCAGCGCGAAGAAGCCCATGCGCGCGCCTTCACCCTTTCGGCACCGAGGTGGAAAGACAATTGTAGGAGGAGGTGGAGAGAGCGGAAGAAGATACAGAGGAGGAAGTTATTATGTAGCGCAGGGTGGGACATAGCCCAACGAGCTCGACACCTGGTGCCGCCCTTACCCCATGACTCAGGGGGAGACGTTGCTTTTCTTTTTGGGGCCGAAGAAGCCGGGCTGCACCTGCGGCGTGGTCCCCGCGTGTCCCAGCAGGCGCCGTGCAGCCCCTTGGACGTGCAAGGAGAATCCGAAATCGAAAACCGACCGAACCAACAGCGAGACAGAAACCGGGCAGAGCTTTGCACCTCCTGGGCCCAGCTCTGCCTGGCCCTGGCCCCCGAGAGGAGGAGGAAGAGGAGGAGGAGGGGAAGGAGGAGAAGGACGAGGAGGAGGAAGAGGAGGAGGAGGAGGAAGGAGGGACCAGTGTAAACTCAAGAGTCATCAACATTGTTGGAATTAACCTTATCTCCAAGCTCCATCTTCACAGGCCCCTACAACAGTTTATTTCCACTGAGGGAACTGCAGTGCTGGAAGACAACAATTTGAAGACCCTGAAACATGCCAAACTATTGTTCTCGGGATTCCAACGTCACGGACAACCTGACTGTTGCGTTTGACGATCAGGAATCTTGCCAGAACGCCATTCCTGGGACTTCATCACCGCGAATCAACGTAACTATTGCACCCTCATAATCCTGAATCCTTCGGTAAACATAAATCCTGGTAGGCTCATCATAGGAATCCGTGAAAACCTTTGCGCGGCGCTAGGGCGAGAACCACACATTGAAAATGAACCACCCTTAATCCGTGAAGCTCTTGTAATTTAAATAAGCGAATGTGCGCGGCGCTTAGTCGAGAGCCACATGCTTAAAATCACCCGCCCTCCATCTGTGAAACCCTTGCAAACTTCAAAACGGATGTGCGCGGCGCTGAGGCGAGAACCACATTTTGAAAACCACCCGCCCTCCATCTGTGAAGCTGTTTCCAATTTTAAACTTAGGGTGAAGAAATCTCGGGCGAAAAACCCGGCCCGCCCTAAAAACTTGCCTCGGGGTGCGACGGGGAGAAATTCTCTAGATGGACAAGGAATGGAGGGGGAGAAGGCGGAGGAGGGGAAAGTCGAGGGAGGAGAGGGCTCAGGAGCATGAGGAGGACGGCGAGTCGAAGGAGGGCAGGGCTGAGGAGCAGGAGGGCCCTTGAGAGACACTTGCCGTCGCTCGGACGTCCATTTCCTGTGCATTTTTCGGTTTGGTGCGTGTTTTTTGTGCTCGATGATCCAGGATGGTCCTCGATGGTCCTCGCCGAGAAAAAATGCACACGTCCGAGCGATGCCGAGGACAACTCCCGCGGGCGGGCCCTCCGAACGGCCTCCAGAGCGCCCCGGACTCTCGGGCTTCTCCTGCGCCTCCCGGAGGGGCTCCTTGGGGGCTCCACGGGGCACCTGACGACCTCCCCTGGAGCCCGGCGACATCGACGGCGGCGCCGGTGGGACGACGACGACGGCGGCTGGCGGGCCGCCAAGTAAGATGAAGCCAGGGCGAGGATAAATCGAGAATCGCTGCGATCCCGCGGCTCTGGAGGATGTCTCGGGCGCCGCGACCCTCTCCGAGCTTTCCGGAACGCTCTGGAACGGATTTACCCGTCCTAGCCCCGTCCGACCAGTTCCAGACAGTCTCCGATCGGATGCTTCCAACGCGCAGCCCGATGCAGAGGTCGGACCCCTTCGGCGGAACCAATTTGGGGTGCGCTGGGGCCCAATATAAGTGGCCTGGGAGGCAGACATCGAGGAGATTGAAACACCGCCGAGTGTCGGAGAGGAGGTCGTAAAGGGGTAGTTATGGTAAAGAGGGTTGTGGTACGAATGCTAAAAATGGCAAATTACCTACGATAGGCGCAAATGCATTGCATCCCGATGTTGAAAACAATGGCTTTGTGCCGACCATTATAAACAACGCTGGAATCCCGATTTCAACTTCCACAAACGACCGCAATCCCATGTGAAAGGCGAACAAAAAGCCTGTTCAAGGACGCCCGATCACCGCGCACGAAATTGCTGAATCGCGAAAAGCGTGATTCCACAATTCCCGTTTCACAGAACACGTACGTAATTGAAGCAATTCTGGAATTTCGATATCATGCTGGTTCAAGTAAGTCAGGAGATTCTGACACGCCGTTCCAGAAATTCCAGAATCGAACAAATAACTTCCGGAAATGAGGGAATCACCAGAATCGAGTGCCTGGCAACATGGCGTCGGATCATGGGCCTGCGTGTCGCCGACCAGATCTGACTTGGTCGTTTGGGAAGTCGGAAGCATTATTTGTGACTCTGTTTGAAGCGGTCGACGCAAAGCCAACGTTGTTGAACTCGGGATGCAGCGCAGGTGCGGCTACCGTAGACAGCAGCGCCATTTGCAGCACTGGCACCGCACCCCTCTACACCCCTGTACGACCTGGGTCTGCAGTCGTTGTCGGTGGCCGAAGCGTCGTCATCGTCGTCGTCCTCGTCCGCCGCCAGGCCCGCGCAGGGCGGCCGAGCCTTGGCGAAGGGGTCCTCGCCCGTCGAGGTGCCCGCGCGCACCGCGGAGGCCATGCGCAGGGCGAGCTGCGCCAGCGTGGTGGAGTTCTGGGGCCGCTGGGGCCGCCTCCTCCTCCTCGTCAGCCTCCCCCTCCTCCTCCTCCTCCCCCTCCTCCTCCTCCTCCTCCTCCTCCTCCTCCTCCTCCTCCTCCTCCCCCTCCTCCTTCTCCTCATCATCCTCCTCCTCCTCACGCACACACCCACAGCGAACAGGAGCTCCGAGCAGACAGCCTAAGTGAAACCCGCAGGCTAAGCATAGGTGCACGCGCTCAAAGAGACTTGAAAGAGAGAGAGAGAGAGACAGGGAGAGAAAGAGAGAGAGAGAGAGAGAAAAAAAAAAAAAAAAAGAAAAGGAAAGAGACACAGGGAGAGAGAGGGAGAGAGAGAGAGAGAGAGACAAGAGACAGAGAAAAGAGTGGCAGTCCCCCCCCCCAGGCTCCTGCAGGTGCGCCGCGCCCTCCTCCTCCGCCTCCTCCTCCTCGTCCTGCTTATTGTCCTCCTCCTCTTTTCCCTTTCGACCGAGGTCGTCTCCATCGTACTCGGCGGGGCCTGCGCGCACCTTCATTGTCCGAGGAGGTGTGTGTTGCCCAGCGCCCGCGCGAGCCGCACACAGGGCAAAGGTCCTCGAGGGCCTTAGCAAGGTTCAGGGAAGCGTTCGGAGCAGTTCTACCGGGCCCGATGGGTGCTCCAAAGATGTCTGCATACTTGAGGGGAGCTTAAGAGGGTGTCCAAGGTGTCGATGCGTCGTCGAACGGTTTCGGCAAGTTTCAAAAGATTCGGACGGTGTGGGAAGGTGTTCGGTACGATTTCAATTGTGGTGAAGAGTCGTGCTAGACTTCCGGAAGGTTTCGAACTGTTCGGACATGTGTGGAAAATTTCGGACGGCGTTCGAGGGCTTCAAAAGATTCTCGGAAGGTATGGGACAATTGTCGACAGGTTTGCGAAGGTTGGGGGTCGTCCAGGAGGTTTCCGAGTGAACGACGAGGCGTTCCTGGGCCGCATGAGCGTCGAAAGATAAAGGGAGCGGGCCCACAAGAAAACGCACGCGCCCAACCACGTGCATGAATTCGCGAGACCAGCCGCGTGACACAAACGTTCTCGCAATGAATGCTTTCGAAACCAACGAGGACTCGTGTGCGTGTACGGCAAGTTCGCGTCGTGTCGACCCCGGGGTTGCTTCCTGAAACCGCAGGAATCGTTCAATCTTGAGCGATCGGCCTTGTCCGAAACGCAAGATCGTTCAACATCGAACGACTCTGGGTCGCAAGAAGCGCTGAACCTTAAACGCCAGCAGTGGGGTCGCCGCCGGTCGACACGACGCTGACCTGCCGTACGTCCTTGTTTCGCTCCTGACCCTTCTCCACCCCCCTCCTTGGCTCGCTTCCTCGGCCTCCGCTCCTGCTGCCTGTTCCTCTCGCGCCCCCGTGGCCCACCAGGGCGGCATGCCCTGCCTCGCCGCGGCATCCGAGCGCCGTCCGTGGCCGCTGCCTGACGCTGCTCGACAGCACGCGCCGAGCACGGCAGGCTCGTGCCGAGGCGGCCCCGGCGGATCGTGCTTCTGACACCGCGCGGATCGCTCGGCTCCGTGCCATCGGGGGCCATCCGGTCGCCAGCTCGCCCCCTGTGGGGCCGGTCCCGGGCCACCGGCGGCGGCCGGCCCGGGACGCCCGCGGCGGGGTCGGCGCGGTGCGGACGCGCCAGGTGCGCCGGCCCCCTCGCCGAAGGCCCCGGGCTCCAGGGTCCCCGCGCCTGGCTGGGTGCACATCGGGGGGCTGCTCGGCGCGCCCTGCGGGCTGAGTGCCCAAGGGCATCCCGGATTGGTTCCACATGGTCCTCTCCGAGGCTCCCGGGACTGGTTGGGCGCAGGGCTGCCGCAGGCTCTGCTCCCAGGACACCCCGCAGGGCCTCAGCCCCGCCGGCAAGAAGGGTGACCCGAGGCCCGCCTGGCGCAGATCGTGAGCCGTGGCACGCTCTGCGAGCAGCCCCGTCGTCGACCCCCTCCACTGGTCCTCATCCGCCTCCTTCTCGCCCCCCTCATCCTCCCTCATCTCCTCCTCCTCCCTGCCACGCTGGTTCTCAGACCTCGGACGTCCGGACTTCCGTCACAGACCAACGCCAGGAGGTCTGGACGCCTCGCTCCCCGGGACCACCTCTTCGTGCGGGCTCGGCATTTGACGGCCCAGAGGGCTCGGTAAGGGGTCCGCAGAGGCCGGAAATGGTAAAAAAAAACCTGCGTCCGCCGTGATCTCCGCCTCGCAGCGCGAGTCGCCTGGGCAGTCCTCCCCCGCTCGCCCCCGCATCCTCCTCTCGACTGGGCCTGCAGGAAGCGGGTCCGGAGGGAGCAGGGTCCTGAATCCTGGGCCTGTCTTGGCACTCCTGGGGCTCATGGGGGGGGGGGCCGCGAGCCCGACAGCGGCGAGCAACCTGCAAGGCTCGCCTCTCCAGGGACCCCTCTCCTCCGTGGCGATCCCCATCCCCGTGCCTCTTGCAAGGCATCCCCATCTTCGATCCGAGCTGACGGACCGCGCCGCATCGCCGACGCATGGCAATGTGCGTCGGCGGTGCATCGGCGGCAGCGGCGCGCAGAAAACTGGGCTCCACATCGAGCCGCGCCGGCGATGCTTCGGCGATGCGGCGCGACCCACCGAGCCCAGCCACTCGGACCCCACCTGGGCGGCCTGGACTCTCCCCTCCGCGTCTTCTGAGAGACCCTCTCTGATCACCCTCCGATCACACCAGGCGGCTGCTCAGGAGGCGCGAGGGTCTCTGAGCAGCCCCGCCGCCTTCTCGGAAGAGCCGCCTCAGCTGCCTTGCCCCCGGTTCATGGCGATCGTCATCACTCGGGGATCGTCTGACCCGGGTCAATCCAGACCCGGGTCAGCAGGAAACCAAAAACTGCAATGCATGAAAACAAACAACTGCCCTCTTCCCTCTTCCCGTCTCAAGGATCCCGACCTCTTCCCTCTTCCCTCTTCCCCCTTCCCTCTTCCGGTTCATGGCGATCGTCGTCCCTCTTCCCTCTTCCCCTCGCCGCCCCCCCCCCGCGGTCTCCAGCTCGCCCCTCGCGGACGCAGCGCCCCGCCACCCCCCGCGCGGCGCCCCGGGCGCGCGGAGTCCTGCTTCTGGGCGAGCTCCTGCGGCGCCGGACTGGGGCGAGGGTGGTGGTGGCACGGCGGCAGGAGCGCGCATGCTGCCCTCTGACGAGCAAGGGGGGTATAGAAAGGGGGGGCCCTGCCGTCGCTCGGACGTCCAGTTCCCGTGCATTTGTCGGTTTCGTGCGTGTTTTTTGTGCTCGATGGTCCAGGATGGTCCTTGATGGTCCTCGCCGAGAAACAAATGCACACGTCCGAGCGACGCCGAGTAAAGGGGGGGCCTGCACTCCTCCGAAGCTGTGAGGAGGGGCCCGCATCGAGCAGGCCCTCGAAGGTGCGGGGGCCCTGCCATGGCGCTCGTCGCCTGTGGTCCGAGGCGCGTCTGGCCTCGCGGCGGCGTCTGGCCTCCGCCCTGTTGGCAGCTGTGCGGCTCAGGGACGGAGGAAGGATGGGTCGGGGGTGGCCAAGAGCGGGGCGTCCCAGAAGGGGGGCGCAAATCACGGCCGGCGGCACGTGCGGCCCTTGCCATGATATCCCCCCCTAGTCGTCACCCCCCTCTTGGCCGCCCCCGAATGGGGGAGGGACACCTCGGATGATGGCCAGTCGAGACAACGCTGGCCCTCCCCGGCGTTTTTCGCACGCCTGGAACGCTCCTGGGAGGCTCCTCGTGGCCGCGGCCGGATCTGCGCCGAGCAGCCGATCAGGAGAGGCCCCAGGGGGGAGAGGAGGAGGAGGAGGAGGAGGAGGAGGAGGAGGAGGAGGAGGAGGAGGAGATGAGTTGAGCAAGCGGCCTGAAGTCAGTGCGTTCGGGGGCCTTGCGCCCGTCACTAAGAGGCCTCTGAGGCCTCCTCGAAATCAAGATCGTGGGCCCCTTCGGGGCCACTCTGCGCCCGTGCGCAGGAGTCGGGCCCCCTCGGCACGCGTGGCCGCCAGGTCGGACTCTCGGAGGCCGCAGGCCCTCGGCATCTCGTCGCGGGACGTCATACCCCCGAAGTGCCCACGCCACGCAGCCCCGATTCGACGAAACCAGGACGAGGATAAATTCGGGTCCCCTTAAGACGAAGCCAGGACGAGGAGAAATTCGGTGGAGGATTTTCGCCACGCGAGGATAAATTCGGTGGAAGATTTTCGCCGCGGGTTCGCCAGGTTTTCGTCGGTTCGTCTTGAGGGTTAAGCGTCGTGCCCACGCCACTCCCCGCGTCCCGATCCGAAGCGCTGGGGGCGGGCTCGCCAGAGCCAAACGGCGACGCTAGACGCAGCCGCAACCCCAGCGGAACACCGACTGGGGGATCAAGGCAATAGTCCTTCTTTAGGACGCCCGAAATGGGTACGGAAAAAATGGGCACAATGCCCAACAACAAATGTTGTCCCAAACCAACAGCGGCCGCTGTTGGACAGGCGGCCTTCTGTCTCAAATGAACACAGGCCGCGGCGGCGCGGACAGCGAGTGCTGTTCAAAATGAACAGAAACTGTTGTTGGGCAGTGTACCCATTCTTTCCGTACCCATTTCGTTCGTGCAGACTTCTGACCAGCCTTGTAGGATGGGTACTTGCCAGCCTTGATCGAGGCCAGCTGGTACTTCAGGCCCGATCCTGCGAGCTCTCTGGGGCACGGCAGGAGGAGGGCCTTAGAAGGGCGCCCGGAGCTGAAGAGAGCACCGTACGCGCAACAACAACTGATGGCCTCACCATTGTCTCGACCCGACCTAGCACACACCGTCGCGCGCAGCAACGGGAGCGCATTGAATTCGTACCCGACATCTCGGCAATCGGCGAAGCCTTCAGCAGGAGCCGCCGGGCTGGGGCCCTCCGCGCCCGCTGGCGCCTGCCCCCTGCCCTTCGGGCTGGGCCCCTGGTCCGTCTGGCGGGGCCTCCACCATCTCGCGACTTGCCAAGTAGCTCTCCATGAGATCGTCATGGTCCTGGCAGGCCTCTCCGTCCCCCACCAGCGCGTGCACCGACCGCTCAACCGCCCCACCTCCCTCGAGGCCTCTGCCAGGCCACGCCAGAGATGGTACTCGCACTCCTCCACTCCATGGAGGGCGGTACCTCGCTTCGCGAATTCGCCGGCGGCATCGTTGCCACGCTTCTCCCAGAGGGTGGCGCGGTCGATTTGGTTTTGAACCTCCACCATGCTGCAACGAGCCCTAGTCTTGAGGGCAGTGAAATCGTTGGCGTCGAGGATTCCACGCGCTCGCTCCAGCTCCTGGGCCGCTCCAGGGCGTCGAGACCGTGCCTTCACAGTCGATGTACAATTCGAACGGAGGCATGGCGACTTGACAGAGCAGGCGCACTGCATAATCCTCAGCCTCCCGAGATGACTGAAAGGGCCGTTGGTCCATTGGGACTGGGCCATAAGCGGCCGCCAGCACTCCGCCAAACGGTCACACATCACAACGGACCACCCCGCCCTGGATAAGGTCATGGATCAAGGGAAGAGGGCCGAGCCGTCCAGAAACAAAATGCCAGTCATATAGCCCGACTCGGGCCTCCGGTGCCAGAAAATAGTCTGGAGGTCCTGTGCCGTGAGGGGCAGCTCGAACAGGGGGCTAGGGTCAGGGAATCTCCCCCTGGCAAAAAAATCGCCCGTCTCAAAAAAACGTGTTTTCACCCTTCGGGCCCTACTCAGTAGATTCGCCGACACGTGGTCCCGTCTCAGGGCTGCGTGCGCATCGCACTCGTAGCACCTGTGCCAGTAGGACCTGTCTGGGTGGTCACACGCCGCGCACTTGGCCGACGGCGCCAACCCTTTTTTGTCGAGCCGAGCTTGGGACCAAAAAGTCCCCGAGATGAGGTCCCTGAAGGCCCGTTGCTGGTGCACTGACCAGCTGCCCGACGGAGGAGGAGGAGAGGAGGGGGAGGAGAAGGAGGAGGAGAAGGAGGAGGAGGAGGAGGAAGAGGCGGGGGAGGAGGAATGGAGAAGGAGGAAGCGGGGGAGGAGGAGGAGGAGGAGGAGGAGGAGGAGGAGGAGGAGGAGGAGGAGGAGGAGGAGGAGGAGGAGGAGGAGGAGGAGGAGAGGCCCGCCCGGGGGCCGTGAGCGGATGTGGTCTCAATCGAGCGACGACAAGAGAAGGGTCGCACGCGAAATCGCATATCGTTCTTACGCGGTGGCTGACAGTATGGGGCCCCACCACAAGAAACCTTCCACAGGAAACCCAACTCTGAGACCTCAGGACGTCCACTGATTCTTCGGTATAGGACCGTCACGCTCTCCATCGCAAAACCACCGAAACCCAGGAAACCCAAGGCACCCTGGAGGCAAGTTGGGTGTTCCTTGGCATGGACCCCCACCGTACGCGGGCCGCCCGAGGCGAGGGCCCTGAAACGCCACTCCGCGCGGCCGGCTTGCGTACGGCGCAGAGGAGCCCGCTGTTCTGGCGCCGCTCCACTGGCACTCCTCCGCACACCCCTGCGGTGAGGCTTTCTTCCCGAGCGTGTCGCGGCGGCCCCTGCGACACGCGATGCCCTGCAAACCGCGAGCGTGTCGCTCTGCGTCGTGGGACGAGGGCCTGGGAGACGCTGGGAACATTGATGCTCGGGGAGTGGGACGTGCTTGGCGTGCCGCGCCGAAGCGTGGTAGGCCAGAACCGGCGGCGCGATTCTCGCGAAGTAAACCTTCCTGACCGTATTATTTTCCCCTGACCTCCTCGCATCGTGAAAGCATTACGACGAAGTTGTTTGCCCGCGTTTTGCCTCCGAGGGCCCCAAGGCCGTCCTGCACGCCCTCACACGGTTCGTGGTCCCGTAGGGAGCTCCAACGAAAGTCCCTGTGGCAGGGTTCGCATGCAGTTCCACCCTCATTTGGGCGCACCCCTCACTCGGTTTGTGGCCCCATACGGAGCGCCACCAAAGGTCCCAGCGGCAGGGTTCGCATACAATCCCACCCTCATTTCGGAACACCCCTCACACAGTTCGTGGCCCCATCGGGAACTCCACCGAATGCCTCAGTGGCAGGGTTCACATGCAGTTCCACCCGAATTTCGGCGCACCACTCACACTGCTCGTGGCCCCATAAGGAGCTCCATCGAAGGCCCCAGTGGCAGGGTTCGCATGCGGTTCCACCCCAGTTTCGGCGCACCCCTTACACGGTTTGTGACCCCATAGGGAGCTCCACGAGAGAGCGCGTTTCACGGGCGGTTGTCTTGGGAGCCCCCCCCAACACCCGGCGCCGTCGATCAAAACCACTGCAGGGGGACTCCCCTCCCGAACCCCCCCCCTCGGCGCCGGCGCCAGCGCTGGCGCTGGCGGCCGCCAGCAGCGCCGACGGCGGGGACGCAGCGACGATGACCAGAGGCAGCCCAAAGGGGGGGGGGGACGGGGTTTCAACCCTCCCCCCCTGACGCTGGCGCCGGCGCCGGCGGCGGCCAGCAGCGCTGGCGCTGGCGCCCGCGACGGCGGGGACGCAGCGACGATTACCACCACTAACACCACCACCACTACCACCACCACCACCGCCTCAACCCACCACCACCACCACCACCCACCCAACACACAACCACCACCACCACCACAGCCACCAACACCACCACAACAACAACCACAACCCAGTATCACCACACCACCACCACAAAAAGCCACCACCACTACCACCACCACAACGACAATTTACCACGCCACAACCACCACAGCCACAACCACCACCACTACGCCCCATCACAACACACCACCACCACCGCCACCACCACCACCACCACCACCTCCACAAACCACCGCCACACCACAACCCACCACCGCCACCACCACAACCACCACCACACCACCACACCAATCCACCACCACCACACAAACCACCACCACACCACCACCAAACCACCACCACCACCACCACCACCACCACCACCACCCACCACCACAACCACACCACCACCACAACAAACCACTACACCACTACCATCACCACAACCACCACCGCCACAACCACCACAACCCACCCGGCGACGCGCACTGCTCATTACATTTAACATGTCATACGGACCTTGCCATAATAAAGATGGAATCATTCTGGACATGGCAGGCTCGCACTGGCGGAGGACATGTT